TGTGGTGCTGGGGATCGAACCGCGGTCCCTGTGCTTTGCCAAGCTTGTTTCAAGTAGGTGCTTTAGACCACTGAGCCATCTCTCCAGCCCCTCTGCTATCATTTTAGAGATTTCCAGTGTATGGCTTCTGATTTCTTCTATCTCCTTGTGCTTTGGATGTGTCCAGGGTATGCTGGAGGTCTGCAGTTGCATTTGGCTTCTGTGTCTTGTCATTTCCTATGTTCTATTTTTTGTTTCATTTTATATGTTGATCCTCACAGATTTCCTATGATAGATAGCTTTATTAGCAGTATCAAGGCTTCTCTATGAGAAGTCTTGTAGGTATAGACAGTTCTTGGTCTTTGTGTCTATTTCAAAAACCTTTCCAATAAGCCTCCAGATTATTAAATATAGGAAGTTGCTGTGTACTTGGTTCAGCACCCTCTCCTTTGTTACTGGACTATGGTGATAGTTATTACCCCAGAAAAATCACAGGATTGTCATATGAGTAAGGAAAACTGATTACAATATGTATGACATTCTGGCTAAAAGTAGTACAATTAGCAACAACAATAGTATCAAGCACTGCTTAGCCGCTGACAAACTGTGGTAACTGTTGATCTGGAATCCTTAAGCCATAGAAGCAAGCTGTACAGTTATATAATTAAATCCAGCATATACCAGGAACCCACATGCAGTAAGTTTTCCCTTGGTATATTTATTTGGGGCATATTTCAGAGGGACAAGGGAGAAAAATAGAGATTAATGAGAAAAAGTGTAGTGGAAGCAAGGTGGTAAGGCCAAAGAGGATTTCCCAAGTTTTAGGAAACAGGAGAGGCATGCAGGAGAGAAAGAATGAAGGGAAAAGCAAAAGACTATTGGAGCAGACCAGCAAGAGAAGAGACTGTGTTCGCTTACATAAAAGAATGATCAAATGAAGAAAGATAGTTGAAGGAAGAAGATGAAGAGAACAAAATGAAAATAAAGTTAAGAAATCTAAATAGTCAAAACAAAACAACACCTCAACCAGACTGAAAAAGGAAAATCACTCAAAGAAACAAAGAAAAAGGGCCAGCCAGACAGCTCTGCAGTCTAAAGCACCTGCTTAAGCAGATGCAGGGACCGGGGTTCGATCCCTGGCATGCCGTGCCAGCCCTGCCCCTGGGGTACACTGAGAGGGACTGAGACTGGGCATGGTGGTGCGCGCCGGTAATGCCAGCACTTGGGAAGCTGAAAACAGGAGGATCACTGAGTCCAATCTGTGTAGTGAGACCCTGTAGGCCCTGTTACTAAATACATTTAAAAAATAAGGGGGGCCTGGCCCTAGCTCAGGCCTTTAAGTGGCTTCTTCCACAAAGCTGTCAGCCTCAGGTTGCAGGAGTTCGAACCTCACACCTCTCCTGCTGGCCAAAAGTGCCCTGAAGGCATTCGAGCAACAACAACAACAACAACAACAAAAAATCCTTAAAAAAAAAAATAAGGAAAAAGAAAATAGTAAAATTCCTCTGGTACTCACCGCTCTGTGACAGCATCCATGTTGGATCCCAGGAGTGTGCTACGCAACCCCACCATGTTTGCAGTAGGATTAGCTACTGAGCCATGTACAGTTGGCTCGTCCTGGGCACTGTGCAGCTTCCTGTGATCCACACCACAGACTCCTCTTGCCCACTGGCCAAGCACAGAAGGGAGTGCCCCTGTCCCAGCACAAGCCAATACTGCTTGCACTACTGGGCCAAGGTGCCACCAAAGAGGAGTCTGGGCAGTCCCAATTCCTGCCTCTACAGAATTCTCCTTAGTCTGTTTACCAGGTGCTAACAGGCCACTGTGTGTTACTTTTCTCTCGATGCTGAGACAAAATATCTGACACCCAAAATTAAGGTAAGAAAGGTTTTATTTAGCTCAGTGGAGGTTTTAGCCCATAATCAGCTGGCTCCGAGGCAGGGTAGTATGGCACAGGGGCAACAATAAAGGCGGCAAAAGACAGCAAAAGCAGCAAGAGCAGAAAAGGGGCAGGCCAGAGAACTCAGGGATGGCCAGATAGCTCTGCGGTTAAAGCGCCTGTTTAGGCAGACACAGGGGTCGAGGGTTTGATCCCTGGCCTGCTGTGCTAGCCCCACCCCCAGGGTTTGCTGAGAGGGCGATGGAGACTGTGTGGTGGTGATGGAGACTGTGTGGTGGTGCGTGCCTGTAATCCCAGCTCTTGGGAGACTGAAAAACAGGAGAATCACTACGAATTCGATCTGTGTAGTGAGACCGTGTAGACCCTGTACTAAATGCAGTTAAAAAAAAAAAAGAAGAAGAAGAAGAAAGAAATAGGCAGGGAAGCAAGCGGGCTACCTGCCCGCAACATGGTGCACAGTCACACCATCTCCCTGCCCTCCTGCACAGGCCCAGGATGGTTGCACAATGAGGCCTCTGGCCCCCTGCTGAGTCCCTTACTTAAATAGGTCTTTAGTTCGCTGAGCTATCTCACTGGCCCTCTCCAATAACTTCTAAGAGAAACAGCTATGATATAAATTTTAGCTACTTTTCATTCGTTTTAAAAAACAAACATTTTTTTTTTCCCTTTAGGCATATCATCTTTGCTCCAAGTAGCCACAACAAGTATGCTGGAGAGTCGTTTCCTGGGATTTATGATGCTATGTTTGATATTGAAAATAGAGAAGATCCTCTTTTGGCGTGGGCAGAAGTAAAGAAACATATCTCTATTGCAGCCTTTACAATTCAAGCAGCAGCAGAGACATTGAAAGAAGTGGTATAGCAAGGATCAGTCACCTGGCTATTAAATACATTGCCAAAGTCTCAGGATGAAATGTCTCATTTTTGATGATTTTTTTGTTTGTTTGTTTGGCTTTTTTTGTATTTTAGAGAAGGGTCTACAGGGTGTTCAGGGTTTCACTACTAGATCAGACTTATAGTGTCTATACTACTCCCAGTCTCAATTGCAGTCTCAGCACTCCCGGGGGCGGAACAGGCACGGTAGGCCCAGGGATCAAAACCCCCGGCCCCTGCAACTGCTTATAGGCGCCTTAATCCGCTGGGCTATTTGGCCACCCCATCAATGACTCATAAAATAGGTTTTAAAAATCATGATTCTCACGTCATGTTGCTAGAGTCCCACCTTGTTCATTTGTAGAGCTTCTGCCTTGTGCATACATGGTGAAAGCAACTGCAAATGGAAACAACTCAAATGTCCAATAGCAGATAAATGGCTAAATTATGGTATAGCTGCCATGGAATTCTAGCCAGCAATGTAAAAAGGAAAGAACTGTTGGGCTGGCGAGATGGACCACTGAGCTATCTCGGCGGCCCAAGGGTTCTTTCTAAAGTGCCTGCTTAGGCAAGTGCAGGGGCCATGGTTCGATCCCGGCACCGTGCAAGCCCTGCCCCCAGGGTGGGCTGAG